AAAGACCTTGGTTTTGGTTTTCGGTATACCCAGTCATACATGACAAGTAATAGACTGCTAATCCTGTGGCACATAAGCGGTGTCAAACACAGTGAATACCGCCTCCGACTTCGCCCGTTCGAATAAAATTGCGTCAATGAAATTTCTTATCCACGCGGATGAGAACGACACCCGGCGTCTTGTTGCCATGGGTGTCTAAGAGTTGTATAAAGCGGTAACCCGTCGCCAAACGGTCGAGGCGGATGCATGCCCAGCCAAGAAATGGGTCGCGATTTAGCGACATGAGTCGAGGCGTGTCATCTTCCACCTTGAACCTAGATAGAGAAGAATTCGTAAGCTAGGGTTCATGAACAAATCGGGATCTTCAGGAACACTCCATAATATCACAGACTAGGGAGGAACCCGTCTGTTACACAACTGATAAATGAGACGTAATGGAACGTAGCGAGCGAATATGAGTAGCAAAAAAAAAAAAAAAAAAAAGGACCAACGCTAGGTGGTCGTTTGCTCTAGGACTCGCTTCGCTCCCGCGAACAGTTCTAAGGGGCAATGGCCTGTTGTGATATATCACATCCTCCTTTCCGTCACTCAACGGTTCGTTGCACATGCAAGCTCAGCCGCCGGCGACTCCCCGGCTCGGAACACGTGAATTATTGGATATGTATATCATAGTGAAAACCCGACTATCCGGATCCGGATATGTGGGTGCCCGGCGGGAAGACGTATCGGGGAAATTTTTGAAATGAGAATACGACGGGAAAGAAAACACGGGCGGCAAATTCTTACCTGACAAAACTGAGTTGCTCTATGACCCTTTTGACACCAAGGAAATGAAGTTCGTTTTTGACACTGCCGAAATCTGGGTAATCCGTCTTCCCGATCCCTGTCTTCTGTTTGTACTCGCATTCGCGGACCCTACCACCCCCGTCGATAAAGGCTCCGAATCGCTCTTCTATCTTTTCGACGTGTAACTCGCACCTTACATAGGGTCTCAGGGATCTCGAGTTGCTACTGTGAGTACCCTCGGGCAACGGAATATGTTGGCCAGCGAGCACGGTGATGACAAGATCGAGAGTGCTCTGAGGGCCAGCATCCTCTGGAGCTGTAAACGCGTCTTCGCTGAGGTATCCTGGCGGCTTCAGTACCCAACCATGCTCACCCGAAAACATGGCTTCGTTGAGCATCATGCCTTCATCCCAAGACTGCCAATTCATAGCTACCATTTGTACACCTTTGCGCCAGAAGTGTGACGGGTCCAGATTTGACGAGTCCCATCGCAAGCCCTTTGGATAGGCACGCATAAAGAAATGTCGATTGTGAGAGAATAGCTCAAAGTGTTTAGAAGCAATGAGTTCAAAAATCTTGTTCTCGTTTATAGAGAAGATGTGCGAGGGGATTTTAGCAGCTGGCGACTCGAAGTTCGTAAAGTGCTCGCTATGAGTATAAATAGCAAGAGAACTAAGAGCCTCACATATAGGAACCTTAGGCTTCTTGGCGCCATTCTGGAGAATAGGTCTATCATCCTCTGACCCAGATGCGTCATCATCAATCGTGGTGTGAGGTGATAATGTCGACATAGTCCCATCTAAGCTTGGCGAGGCCCTCTTGACCTTGATGAGTATTTTGTTAAGCAGTTCCTCTAGCTTTGGCATTCGGCCATTCGGGCAATTTTCATGGGGTTTATCGACTAGTAAACCAGCCCATTCTTCCTTCATGATTTGAACCATAACACCCTGTTGCTCCTGGTCGGCGTGAACTTCTAGACTGACAATAATGGGTAAATTGGTCGTCTCAAAGGCCACTTCGCGAACGGCTTTACAAACCTCCCGAAATCCAACGGGTGTTGTAAGGGTATAACCGTGCATCACAATCGGCTCGTCCGGTGGTAACGACGGTCTAGATCTTATAGATAGACGCTCAGCATCAAGTTCGCTGGCAAGGGAGGCCGGATCAAGGGCAGCACCAATCTCTCGGCCAAACGGCGGCGGCGCCAGCTCGGACTTGCTGCATCTTGGACTATGGCTGTGGACTTTCTCGACACCTAGTCTTAATCGAGCTTTCTCAACCGTCTCTTCTACAGCATCCTTGAAATGAGCGGCAGCTGTATGTAGACTTCCCCCGGAGAGGTGACGAACGTGTTCAAATCTCGAAGTTGGCTTCGCCGACGGTTCTCTTGGATTGTCCGGCGTGGAGCTTTGCGAATCACTATTCCACACATCTATCTCCACACACCTACATCCTCTTCTAAGAACGCGCCTGTAAGCATCCGCTGTGCTTCGGCCAGATAACTGGTTGCCGGATAAGTACGTGTTGTGGCTGCTGCTAATAAAATAATTGCTTATAGGTTTCGAGAGGTCTTTTTGTTCAAGGGAGATGGGCTTCTCTGCTTGAAGACCAAACCCTAGCCACCACACCTCGAGGAACTTCTCAAATTTGTATCTTTCCTCCTTTAAAACTGGAGCTTTATTGCCCTGGACGATTTCGAGGAAGTCTTTAAAGGCTTGGCGTGACAAGAAAGCTTCCCCTCGACGAAGGGAGTCGTAAAGTTTTCGTAGATGTCGTTGAATAGCAGCGCTTAGATATACTTCCTTTTCTCCATCTTGGAAGTGCACAGCCGTTGGCGTGATAAATGAAGCTAGAGCGATTGCTCGCTTAAGCGCTTTAATCGAATTGGTCCCAAGCTCGGAATTCAACGTTAGTCGTCGCCGAATCGTTACCGAGCGCGTCGGTGTCGCGTTGTTCGTCCGTCTCCGCATCTGTCGTATAACTATCAGTACTCACTCAAAAGCCCTCATCTTAATATGGAAGAAATGGGGACCGCGTCAAGTTACTATAGGCTTACGTTAAAACACATTGAGTTAGTAGTTATAGATTAGCTCAGATCTTCCTTGAGAAGTGTCGCCTCTTTAATTTATGCCCTGGTCGAGCAAAATAAGGTATTGTCGAAGGGCATTAGAGTAAAGGCGTCGCTCCCCTTTTAAAGGGTCAGGTAGGAATAATTCTTGAACTCGGCTAGGATGATAGGTATTCGTAGGTAGATATGAAACTATGAGCTTAACGGCTTTGGACAACGTGACAGACAATGGACAAAGTAAGTAATTCGAAAATCAAAGGAATTGAAAATTGTACACGCAGACAACGTATGACGCGAGAGGGTTTGTAATGCGAAATGAAGAGAAATGCAAAAAGAGCGAAAGCGTAAAGGTTCAAGTTCGAGTTATGGTTCAGGTTCAGCTATGGACAGGGTGCAGCCTCATCCCAGCACAAACCCAGCACAAACCCAGAACAAGCGGCCCCACTGCTGTAGTAGAAACTTAGAACACGACCAATCCGACCGTTTCAGGGGAGCCGATCCCTGAAATAAGCTACTATTCGTAGGGCTGTACCGTGGGACCGGGCCCTGTATGTCTTGGTTGCCCACCACCCAAGAGAACTATAGTTGACGTTCCTGGAGGATCTTGAAAACCTGGGTAATACCAACTTAGGGATTTCAGGAACGAAAATGTTAAAATAAAACCTGAGAAGAAAAATGTTGGAGGCGAGGCAGAAGAATAAATTTAATGGTTGCCGAATTGATTAACGCACAGCTTAGCATATGCCCAGACCGCTACTGTCGTCAAAGACGGGTTTAGGTCAGCCTAAGGCGTGCCGTGCCATGGGCCCTGAAGCATCTGGGGGCGGAGTCTTTACAGCTTGACAGTAGCGGATAGTAACGATTGGCCCCCAATTGATGACCGACAGCTGGAGATGATATAGTGGACATGCAAGTCAACGGCGAGTTGATAAGTCCACTAATGCTACTCTCCACTCTTTTGAACAATACAATTCGCTTGTCTGAATGTTCGAGCACAGCTGAAAGGCTCTAATACAACTCTAGGGTGCATGATATAAGTTCAGGTTTTGATAAGAAAAGAAACTAATTTCAGGTCAAAGTCTGAAGCTAGCAAAAGAACCTATCGACCTTGAAAAAGCGGCGCATACCCCGCTTCGTAAAGACAATGCGATTTTGAATCGCAAATCGATCGGCCCAAGGTAGAATTGGGTGGACGAGATGACGGAATGGGAATGACTTGATGCGGCTAAGATGGTTTATCGATGGCTGCGCCTCACTGAGCAATCCAATGGTTGTAAATGTTTCTTAAGAAGTTAGGAATAAGTAAGCACAGGGCATTGCAAAATGGAGTTTTTGCGCGGTGCCAGCCCCCAGCGAAAATTAAAGGCCCAGTCTTGGCATTCTCCCTCCAAAACAACACCATATAATATATTCAAAATAAGCATGAAAAAAGGGTTGAAAAAAGGAAAAAAAATTATATATTAGCTCTTTAGCCTTTATTATCATTATAGGTAATTTTTATAATTTTACTACCTCAAAAACGGTGGAATTATATATGCGTAAATGTTAATTCTTTAAGAAAGGCTAAATTCCAAGACTGAGCCTTTATTTTTCGCTACTGACTGGGTGCTTGCAGAAAGCAAAAAGAAAAAAAAAATGGACATGCAGATGTGCGACCAGGAAAGAGGAAATGTGGAAATGTGGAAATGTCATGATTATAGTCGAATATGAGTTGCAGTTGCAGTTGCAATAACAACCAAACAACGCAATTTCCATCTATCAGCCCCAATTGATTACCTACATGTACCTAATGTACCTAATATAGTGGAATTAACTAACCTAAGCAGCACGTGAAGCTGGGGTAAAAAAAGGGGGGGTGGAGGGAGGAGGAGTTGTCCGACGCTCATGTCTAAACCTGGAAATGAACGCAAGGCTGCAGACCGAAGCAACGTCATGATTTCTTGAAAGACTTTTACCCCAAGTTGTCCAACTCACCAAAACAATAAAACACAGCCACGTTAGTCAAGCCTATTCTCTCTTTGGTAGTCAACCTTAGGCATTAAAAGCTGGCTGTGCTAATAAATCGACCATATCCACCGGCCAACTCAACTCAACTCACTTAGGTATCGACAGCAGGAAACGGAGGTGGTCACTTATTAGGTCGGTCATGTCGAACAAGACCCATAGGGATTATGAGGCGGAAGTGCGGTCCTGGGGCTTTTCTCACGTCTTCACTTGGACTGACGGCCCGTATGTTTCAGGCCCTACGTCAACGAATGTAAAAAAAGGAATCATGAGATGCCAGTGCTAACTCACAATACTTATGCAGTAATGCCTACTACAGGCCGCACTCTCATACCGGCCTGACAACGCATCTGATCCTGGATGGCCAGCTCACCATCACCTACCCCAAGGACGCTGATCCGGAGAAGAAGACATACACGGTCGGCGACCGCATTGATGTCGACGCCGGCCGAGTTCACGAGGTTTGGATAGGCAATGATGGATGTACATACGTCATTGGCGAATAACCTTCGTCTAGCGAACAGTAGCAATGTCGAATAAAGGGTGGTAAGATATTACAGACGTAGAGGTCGTCGTGTGGTTCTAACAGCGACGGGGCAACTGGATACATACTAACTAATAAATAGAGTGGAGACAAATAGTTCTTTTCATGAGACAAGATCAATTATGGGCATTAAGCTTCATTCTCGGCGTATGCTAATCTCGGCTGTGGGAAACAGAAATCTTCGGCTTCCGATATGCCTGGGCGACTGTGGCGGTGGCTCCAACCGCCATCTGTATGATATCCCTTTTGATATGAGTGAATCAGCCATTCGATCAGCCTGTAGGTATGGTATGAGCCTATGGGGAAGGAACGTAGTGACGGTGCGCCTAGTTCTATATACAAATATTAGAGAGGCTCCCGAGTTTATAACATTCTCCTAACCGTCTAATGATAAGAACGAAAGACTGCGATTCTATAATACCCACATGGAGCAGTGGCTTGCTGGAGCTTTGTCATAATATGCGCGGTAGAAATTACATTATCGACCTCAGTCCAAGTAAGAAAAAAGTTTTCGTAGTCTTACATGTCTAAACATCATGTGAGGCATGCACAAATCGAGAGACCATCGCAACATTTAATCCAGGCTCCTCGTAAAACTAGGTCCCGTTTGGGACTCTTAGCCTCGGAAATCTATGGAAATCGGCTACTACCTCTATACTCCTCGGGATTTGCTAAGGTGAATGATCAAAACATGTAGGGCTTATTAGACGGATTCGGAGCTCCGTATAGCCCTTCAGAGGCGGCAAGTCCGATCTAGTTTTGCCATGTTGAAAGAGGAATTCTATAGCGAATTGACTCCCCACTCGAATAAGTTCATGACTGATGATTATTTTATCGGATCGGGCATGCCGGTGTCTGAAATTCCTCTTTAAGTGACCTCATGCAGGTATTCGTCACGGGCGGCGACTAGAATAATGGCGATGACCTCAGAAACGGCATCTCGGATGATGTCGCCACCACTAGTAGACCCCATAGAGCGATAACAAGCCGGCAGACCGATAACCTTAGATCGCTAGTTGAGTACGATTATCACTGAGGTTCAAGTTAGACAAGCGTCAATAGTTTAAGATCGCACATAATCAGCTGAAATCTTTTTACTTTCCGCCCTATCATTCAAATGTACAACCACACGAACTAAACAAACATGTATGTAGATATAATACTTACTAACAAATTGCGGCAAGATGTCGTGTAATATCGATCTTGTGCGGGCTTGTATCACCACATTCCGGGAAGCTGACGAGTCCTCAAATCTATACCTATCAAAAACCGTGAGGGTGTCGGTTACACTACGCGGCGGGCATTAGCCACGGCGCCGGGCGGGTTGAAACATCTCCCAACTCCTATCGGAAGTTGTAGCTCGATGCCCGCTGTTGAGCAGCGGGGCAACGGTTATACATGCACGAAGTTTGCATTTGAGGTTATCGTCCTGCATTGACATGCTGAGAGGCGTCGTTAGAAGTGATAAGCGGGTGTATCGGCCATACCGTTGAAATATCTAAGATACATTAGGTACCTAGGTAGGTATATTTCAAGTCAAATTATATTGTATAGGTATATGTTCTTTTAGTTTAGCTACCTACTTATAAACTAGATTAGCTTCCCTGGCTATAGAAATAAAATTAAATGAAGCATATTCTCACATGAATATGTTCCTACGACTTCGGCTTGTTTAGCCGGTCCAAATAAATATACTAAATCAGCCGCATCCTTCTGTCGTGGGGCTTAATTGAAGCTTGCGTAAGAAGTATGCATAGAGCATGCGGTAGCACGACGACAAGAACGAATGATGGCGAGTTATGAATGAAGTCGCACTGCAGTCTAATGGGACATCCCGTCTTCCTGTAACGCGCTGATCAACGATCTGCACCAAGGGTATCAAAAGTTTAATCGCATGCTCTGTATATTGTCAATAGTGTCATAGATAGATGTCTTGAATACACTTCTCCCTATTTCGAATGTAGAGAAACGTTAGAACTTAGATCGACTTATACTAATATTGATACATATGTAGTGACCTGGGAATTCTTGACCGCCATCGGAGAAAGGAGATAACCAAAATGGGAAACTTCATTATTCTTGCGTCAGTATTAGCAAACGGCAACCGCATACATGAAACAGCTGATTGTTGTACAATAAGGCGGTGAAAAGGAAGATTTGTTGTCACCAAAATAACCTGCATATGTCCTATGTATGTAGGTGGTCAGGCAAGAACAGAAGTTTCGGGACGTCAACACCGAATCAAGGTTTCGCGACATTTGTAAATTCTGAATAGGATCAAGTGGGGGGGAAGGGGGAAATCTTTACGATTACGACGTTGCGGAATCGATCCCTTCTTCATTTCATTGGTGTAAACATACTAGTACTGTAGACTACCGACCTCTTTGATTGGAGACGCTTAACGTGTTTCTGTATTTCCGTAAACAATGTAGCGCGTGTGTTAAATCCGACGCTATGTACGAGGCTCTTCCGCAAGTGACGTTCTCGATGTTGTCGGCGGCTTCTAAAGGATTACCCAATATTAAACCGTGTGGAGAGCAATGTCGGAAGTGTCAGGAAGAGGAAGTATTCCTTTTGTCGAGGAATTAGTTGGATAGGTATATGAGATTTAGAAGCGCCGGCTCAAAAGAACAGTGAACAGGGCCGGAGTGTTTGAAGCGGTAATCCTAGAGAATTACTAGCATAACCCTGTAATCTTGTGTCCCCCGGTCTTTGTGGCTGGTCTTGGTCCTGCTCCGCAAGATGCAACGTCAGTCGTACTTGTGTTATCGAAGCTTAAGATTGCTCTATAAGTCATACATACATGATAGGTATATGCGTATGTGGATATAGGGAAAAAAAAGATCAGGCCGAGACGCGTGTATTTGTGATGATAGCATGACGGATACCGATAACTAGAATCCCGGAGATTTGACCTAACGTAGATGTGAGTTGGTTTTCTACCTATGTGTAAGTGAGAATATATCGTATGTAAGTATTACATAACATTGAGTTGTTGAACTTCGGTCTCATCCTTGTAGAATGTCGGATATCGGAGACAACGGGATGAAATAAGGTATAGTAGCCTTAATTCATGGGGTTAAGTATCAAGTATAGCTTAGCGAAGGACTTTCCGTATTCAGCAGAGGTATATAGTTGATATCTGATAGAAGAAAAGAACAGTACCGTACTATAGCGATGATGGATTCGTGCAACCGAACCCATTGTCTCGCATATATGAGCAAGGATAAACTATCGGTGGCATATAACTATCTTTGTGGCATCTTCGGACAGATAGCTCGGTTTAGGCTAGAATAGTATAATTGATCTAATCAAGTAACTATGGTTTTTGAATAACTAGTTAGTTATTGTAAATTATACTAGTTCTAGCCTTAGCTATAAAAGTTCCGTAATCCTTGTTTACTTTAGTATGCAGCTTAGAGTTTAAAGTACCTCATGTAGTGATCAAATAATAGAATTCGGGAATGCCTTAGCTGCTTAGATAGTTGACAAGTTGATAGGTACTAATAGGTACACGGTCTTGATTTAGTGTGTATGTATCTCTAGCTTTCCCAACTTAGGTCAATTCCGGTCTCCAATCGGTGCAGGAATGGAGATTGCAAGGGTATGAAGATCAGACAGATGCAGGGAGCAGCCGGTTGGCGGGGCTTATAAGCGGACCTTTAGAAAAGAGGTACTTTGTGTAATACTTTAAAGGCGACTGCTAAATGCGTACAACATATGTACTTTTGTGCCTTCTTACCTTACCAGAAATCTAGAATGCTAATTTCCGTGGCTTCCCATAGTTCCCATAGTTTTTAGTATGGGAAAGTTGAGCGTCTCAGTTGCCGCGCTGAAGTAGCAAAAGTAACATACAAGTCTTGTCTTAATTTTCCAGATCTCGATGTCCCATTAAACTCAGTCAAGATCAAGTTCCAAATTCAGGTTTCTTCTGCGTCAAGACTTCCAAGACCCGCATCTCACACTTTAATCCTGGACCAATAAGTACCAATAACTTTTATATTCCCAGCCATAGTTCATGGATGCATCTCTCTGTCTCTTTCACTTGCTCTATCTTTTTTTTTAACTCAACCCCACCGTACATATGTGCATAACAACATACAACAACATACATACATACCTACCTACCTCATGTAACATAACCACAACTACCTACCTCCTAAGGTAAACATATATGTAAGTGTACGCAAACCTCTACATCAAATCCTGCACATAACACTCTTTTCTCCTTTGTCTATTTTATTTGTTTCACAGCCCCTACATAATATATGTAGTCATGGGCGCAGATCTATCTCCTATAAGATATATGTGAATAAAGCAACATCTTAACTAATGCCGCCGCATTCGTTCCGTCTCAGTGTGTAGCTCAGATAACTCGGTCAGTCAATATATTCGTCTTCTTAAGATACACACCGCGTACGGACTGAGATAAACAGGACCGGGGGTGTTGCGTATTTCCTATTAATCCATCATCCCGCACCTTTCCCAACCCCCAACTCACCATCTAGATCAATAACATCTTATCCATCCATATATGTGACCTTGGATCTCGGGGTGTAACCCAGACTGCTTTATAATACGCTTTATAATACCTGTCTTAAAGCCTCCTTCATTCTCAAATCTTGAATCGTACCCGTTCTCGATCCGAGCTTGTCTATTCCCTTTTACATGAGATTAGTGTGGTTCGTTGATCGCTAATGCTAATGTTCTGTTGAAGCTACCGGCATGGAATTGTCAATGCTTGCCTAATATTAGTACCGCGCCGGTTTTTCGGCCTTGCCCTCACCCAACATCATGGGGAATTCGATCTCCGCCGAAGCTCCATGGAAGGGTCACCGAGCATCTCAGAAACTATCGAAACCTAAGACAGGTAATCCTACCGCAGCTGGCCTGTTGAATACCAATGGCGCCTCAAACCAACCGCGCCATTCCCCGGCAGCGAGACGTGCCTCGCTCCCCCAC